GGTTATTATGAATAATAACTACTTTTTATTATAATTTTATATATAATTATATGTTTATTATTATTATATAGACGTATAATTGTTGACCAGTTTTCCGGCGTTGACCGGCTTGACCCACCGGGTCCAGGTTGACCCGTGACCCAGTCACTTGACCAAAATATAGACATAAAAGTTCATACAACACTACAAAAAAACACGGGATTGACATTTTGTTGCAGAGATTTCCCAAAATTAGCAAAGATTTTGACAGGGATATACCAAATACGTGCCAAAAACAGTTTGGTATGAGATATTTGGCATGAAATCATTGGCAAATCCGTGCCTATCCCGTGTTTTTTTGTAGTGCGCTTTTTTAAGATCTCTTAGACATAAAAAGCAAAAAACATCTTCACCAAAATATTTTTTCCACATTAAGCCTAGACTATAAAAGCTTATTGGACCCATTAATTATTACTCCCTCTGTCCCAATTTGTAAAATACTTTACGGTTTACGAAGTTTAACCGACGATGAAGCAAATTCATCCCTGTCAACACTCAAATTAGTTTTAGAAAATAAAGTTTACATATTCAGAAACTACATTAAAACCGCTACAAAATCTGCAAAAAATAATTCAAACTTCATGATAAACCCAAAACTTAACAATCGAACAATCATAACAGGTATAAAGAAGCAGACAGAAAGATATCAAAATTAACAACACCTTTGGTATACCGTGTAAACTGGCCGTTGCTCTCCCTAGAGAAGGAGAGCAGCGACAAACCCTAATCTCTCTATCTCTGCACCTCTATTCTCTAAAGCCTCTCACCTTTTGGGGTTCCCGTAAGTTAGCCTCCTTTTATAGGAGAAGTTGGCTAACTTACGGGTTACAAGGAAGCTAACGGGTTGATACACATTTGTGGCCCGTATTACACGTTTAATTAATAACTACACAAATACAAAGATATTTAATTAGATTGGACACCATAAAATATTCCTAACAATCTCCCCCTTGGTGTTCAATCGTGTTGAATCACCATTGCAGCGCAAATATCTTTGTCTTTGTTGTTATTCAGCTTCCTTTGTCTTTGAACTTGACTTCTGAGGAAGGCTTTCTGAAGAAGTCCTTGCAATCTCCCCTTTGATGTCTTCTTGGTAATTTGATCTTTGATGTCGGGGGTTGAGGGATCTTCAGTATCTTGCATGTAGTCCTTGCCTTTCCAGAAGGTCCTCTTAATCAGCTTGGATGAAGTCCGGTGACGCCTCTATAATGAATATTCTTTGGAGAATAGGAGACGCCCATGGAATTCATCTTTAGGACACGAGTATTTGACCTATGTCTCCTCCACAATGTAGTCTTTTTTACTATCTGGAATGAATGCATTTGAGGAGAACTTGTCAGTAGCACAGCGGAACATAATGATGGTTGACTTGTGAGCGTAGCTGACCATTTGAGTTGCAGAGATAGTAGAAAGAGTGTTGGAGGAGAGAAGTGTCCCAGAATGATTTTTTTTATAGTTAACAACATGTGGACCACTCTCCCCCTCATGACGATCCGATGACTCGGGGCGTCATGCCTCTATTCTTTTATTCTGCGGAAATAAAACAGGAAAAACAAGCAGAATGTAAAGAAGATAACGTAGCCCCCGGGGTCATGAAGACGCCCGTTATCATCACTATAGAGATAAACTCTGAAGCGATGGCCTGAAAATGTTGGTGATTCTTATGTTGCAACAGCAGGACTTCCTTCCAATCATTGGTCTACATCTGTAATAGATGAGCCCTATGGAAGTTCTCGCGGGTCATGTAGACCTGCAACTAACTCAAAAAGTGTGTCTGTGTCCTAGAAAATTTCAAAACATTTGAGAGTGAGGTAACTAGACACGACGTGATCAATGAAAGTTCAGTGACATGAGGCTGAGGCCACTGAGTTCAGTTCATGACCGCGAGTTTAAAACTCGAGTTCATGACCGTGAGTTTAAAAACTCGAGTTCATGACCGCGAGTTTAAAACTCGAGTTCATGACCGCGAGTTTAAAACTCGAGTTCACGACCGCGAGTTTAAAAACTCGACTTCACGACCACGAGTTTAAAACTCGAGTTCACGACCGCGAATTTAAAAACTCGAGTTCATGACCGTGAGTTTAAAAACTCGAGTTCATGACCATGAGTTTAAAACTCTCGATTTTAAAACTGTCGAGTTTAGGAATTCGAGACCCATGATGTAGAGTTCCTGCAAAATGAAAACTTTGAATTTTGAGGATCTGAAAAATGTTCTGAATCTGTTTCAAGTCAAAAACATTTCTGCAGCAGTGTAAAACCATAAACTCTACATTTCATGTAAAGTTCTTCAAAAATGAAAATTTGCAGAAATCGAAAAAGAGGAGAATCATTTACTTTTACTTTTTTCTCATTAACTTAAAGACATCTACTTTTAGAAAGATGGACAAAAGTGTAAAAAGCAAGCATCATTTATTGTCATTCCTTAATCCTTGTACCGGTCAAAGTTTGCAATTCAATTCGGGACGGAGGGAGTAAAAAATAACTTACTCTATTCATACTCTTTTTTGTCAAAGACCCAAAATCTATTAAATTCATTAGTTGGGGCCTGATTAGGTGTACCTAAAATCTATTACACAGGCGGCGGCGAATTTATCACAGTCGAACAGAAACAAACGAACAAAGAACTCAGCCGGGCCGAGGCTATCGAGGGATTAACCAAATTACTTGCTCTAACCAAACAATCCAATCGGGATGCGCGTCGCGTAGATACATTGTTGATGGGTCGTAGATAGGGAGTTATTGATTGGTCTTTAATATTCTTATCTAAAAACTTCTTTATTTTCTAAGGATTATTTCAATATATGACTTTAGGGAAGAGAAAGAGATCCGAAGAAGAAGAAAGCCAAGGCAGTTCCAGAACAACCCCCTCCATATGTGATCCAGTATGTTATTTTTTTGTATGATTATAATATTTTTGTGGATTATATCTAAACATATTTTATTATGCACAAGGATACAATGGATGAAAAAATAACTGAGCTGATGATTGAAGTCACAAACTCTCATGGATCCTATAATGGAGTTGAAATAGATTTTACCTCCACTAGAATTTGGGAAGAAATAGCCAGAGTGATGCGTGAACAAACTGAATATCAACTATCTGCTTGCCAAGTTTTTGAAAGGGCAAAAAAACTGAGTAGCAGTGTGAGGGCTAGGGTAAGTATATGAGTAGAGAAGTATGCAAGTTTATTTAAAAAATACTTCATAACATATTTTGTTTAGTTTTTGCTAGGCATAACCTCATAGTGTTGCAATATATCTCTGGGTTTATCACTGCTTTATTTATGTAATGCTTCTATTAACTGTTTTTTTCTTATAGCTCCAACTTATTTTGCTTTCTGCTTTATTAATTGTTTCTTATTGCTTTATTCAAAATTTCTCATTTTAATATTCTATTGCTTTATCCATAGAATATATTCATTGCTACAAATTAGTTAATAAATTTAAGTAATTTGTTTTAATATAGTGAATTTCAACTGTCTGCTTGTCAAGTTTTTGAAAGGGCAAAAAAACTGAGTAGCAGTGTGAAAGCTAGGGTAAGTATATGAGTAGAGAAGTATGCAAAAACTCTAACAGTATAATTTTTAAAGGGTAATATATGCTGTAGAATCGGTTTTGAAAGGCGATTCTAACTGTATAATTTTTACAGATTTTTGTTCGCAAACAAGATTACAGGAGCAAAACTCTATATGGAAGAAAAAGAGAAGATAAACAGAGCAGTTCTTCGTTAGATCCAAAAAAATCGCAGATATTCAACCTGTTTCACGTCTCGCCTCTGATACCAACTAATAAAACCAAAACTTAACAATCGAACAATCATAACAGGTATAAAGAAGCAGACAGAAAGATAACAATATTAACAACACCTTTGGTATACCGTGTAAACTGGCCGCTGCTCTCCCTGGATAAGGAGAGTAGCGGCAAGCCCTAATCTCTCTATCTCTGCGCCTCTATTCTCTAAAGCCTCTCACCTTTTGGGGTTCCTGTAAGTTTAAAACTCGAGTTCATCACCGCGAGTTTAAAACTCGAGTTCACGACCACGAGTTTAAAACTCGATTTCATGATCGCGAGTTTAAAAACTCGAGTTCATGACCGCGAGTTTAAAACTCGAGTTCATGACCGCGAGTTTAAAAACTCGAGTTCATGACCACGAGTTTAAAAACTCGAGTTAATAACCGCGAGTTTAAAACTTTCGATTTTAAAACTGTCGAGTTTAGGAATTCGAGACCCAAGATGTAGAATTCCTACAAAATGAAAACTTTGAATTTTGAGAATCTGAAAACTGTTCTGAATAGCCCTAAAGGTCGAGATTCTCCTGTATCTGTTTCAAGTCAAAAACGTTTCTGCAGCAGTGTAAAAGCATAAACTCTACATTTCATGTAGAGTTCTTCAAAAATGAAAATTTGCAGAAATCGAAAAAGAAGATATGTTGTAGAATCGATTTTGAAAGGCGATTCCAATAGTATAATTTTTATAGATTTTCGTTCACAAACAACATTACAGGAGAAAAACTCTATATGGAAGAAAAAGAGAAGAAAAGCAGAGCAGTTCTTCGTTAGATAAAAAAAATCGCAGATATTCAACCTGTTTCACGCCTCGGCTCTGATACGAACTGATAAACCCAAAACTTAACAATCGAACAATCATAACAGGTATAAAGAAGCAGACATAAAGATATCGAAATTAACAACACCTTTGGTATACCGTGTAAACTGACCGCTGCTCTCCCTGGAGAAGGAGAGCAACGACAAACCCTAATCTTTCTATCTCTGCGCCTCTATTCTCTAAAGCCTCTCACCTTTTGGGGTTCCCGTAAGTTAGCCTCCTTTTATAGGAGAAGTTGGCTAACTTACGGGTTACAAGGAAGCTAACGGGCTGATACACATTTGTGGCCCGTATTACACGTTTAATTAATAAGTACACAAATACAAAGATATTTAATTAGATTGGACACCATAAAATATTTGTAACACTTCATAAACTTTAGATATATAAAGTAAAAGATTAAGAGTGATTTATGTTGACCAAGTGAATAGTAAATGTATCTTACAATTTGGGATTGAGGGAGTAATTACTAATACTGCTACGTACAAAACTAATGAACACTTGTCCCGCTAATTCATACCATGCATATTAGGCTATTATCAGCAGCAATTTTCTCACACTTGAATCCATCAGCGTCTCTCATTTTTCTCATTAAAATACAGAAACCAAGAATTGCCTATGTCATGACGTCATCAATCTAAGCATTTTTGCTACAAATATGAATACACATGAATTACCAAGCAATTCGTATGAAAGACGCCAGGGCGGACATGAACTTCAACTACCGCGTTTCAGATGTTTAAGAATGAATCTTTCGGCATACAAAGGATACTTATTTTGGACATATTGCCGGAGACACTTGTGGTATGAGAAATCTACCCATACACCGTCTATTCTGACCACAAACAGGCACCTTGACCCTCTGAATTGGGGATGTTGATCAACCTAATACAGAAGATGTTTTTAGAAACGAAGCATGGTCTATAGTGAGGGGTTAATCAGTGATTTTATTTTAATCAGGGAAAAACCTATGAAGCACTAATTCAGTTTTTTACTAGCAGAATAGTGTGAAAAGTACAACTCAACTGAAGGAAGAAAAAATGAAATAAATTTCACCTTGAACTAATCTGAAATGTTTTAAAGAAATTAAATATGGAATGCTACTTAAGTATATTGAAGTCAAAAGGCAACATTATCATTAAGTATGAAACATTACCATGATTGAGTCAAGGCCGACGCCAATTTTATCTTCACAATGAGGGTGATGAGAAAGAAGCCTCTCTACCACTATTCTCTCATCTTCATCTGTAAGACGTTGTCCATTCAAATACCTATTAATAGTGAAACAATCAATCCAGGATTATAAATTGAAATCTAATCCATTGCTCAACGTAAATGGTGGATTTTGCTTTATCGTATTCTCTATAGCCGAGGGAACTTTTTGTCTGTCTCCCACCAAAATAAATTATACGGAGTAGTAAATATGAGTGATGGTTAGATTAGTTTAGGCTTAGGCATTTCTATGAGAGCATAAAATAGAGAGACCAATTACACAATCAAACTCCATTTATACTCTGTAATCCCTACATGGCAGGCATTCATTGGATAAAGTCAAGTTTATGTGGCTTCTCTAATTTCGTTTCACCCAAACAAATCATGCAATACACGAAAAGGAGAAAACTTATGAAGTCTATGCAGGATTTTCTTCTATAAAAATCATATACTCCGTAAGTATTACCTCGGTGAGAATATTTCATGGCAAAGTATAAATTCTACTCTTAGAAGAAAAGTAAAGTGAAATAAGGTATTCTATGACAAAATATTGAATTCTTAACCAAATCCAATATGTGTGTTTTGATTGAATTTTTTTTGAAGTTGAAGTGCTTAACAAAAGAGATAGACCAAAAGAAAGAAATAAAAGCCAAATAAAGATTTTTCCTTGTCATTGTGTCCTTAATAAAAAAGAAGCTAAAACTCATGTTTTATTTCTCATTATGATTGTGTCCTTGTAGGAATCTACTTTTGTAATTATTTTTACCTAAGTTATATCCATTTGCCAGACTGCCAGCACACAAGTTATTACATCTATTTTTGAAGAACACTGCTTCTTTCAGTCAAGGGAAACCAACCAACCATTCAAAAACAAAACAAAAAAATGGTCCAGTGATTGGCAGCTCAAATCTCTAGAAAATCTAGAATTTCTACAAGTTTAAGTATTGAGATGTTTTGGTACAGAACAGTACTTCTGCATATATGGTGTAGGATTTTGAAAGAAATTGCATGAATGTATTAATGCAATTTTTTTAAAATATTGTTAAATAGAGGTCTCATAGTAAATTTTCAAGATCTGATTTTTTAATTTTTTTTGCTAATAGTGAATTAAGCATACAAAAAGTGGACGGTTGTACTTATTTAAGAATGGAGGTAGTATGTAGCAATCAATATAAATAGAAATGGAGCAAGGTTTACAATGTGACTGGTTTTCTTTTACTTCACTCAAACCTAAGTGAGACTGCTTGACCATTGATCATTCTATTTTACCATTAAATTAAAACAATCGCCCTAAATAGGAGTTAAACGTTTATGAATTCTAAAACACTACAATGTTTGTATTCCTAAAGTAGGAATAATTGCGTCCATGTTTTGGCATTACGGGTTTTACACATGGACTCCTATTTTGAAATTCTAAAACGTTTTTACTCCTACTTCGGGAATTTTCCCTTAAAATTAACTTATGGTGAAAGTATACCAACAGTGTCCATCACTTAGGAATTAAGAACACGAAATTTGCAACCTTGTGTAATCTAAGAAATATATCGTTAGTTATAATTTAACAAGACAATCTATATAGAAAACTGAAAAGAAAATTGTGAGAGAAGATAAGAACCTATTAGAATGAAGAATCTCTTTGGTGAGACAAATGACAGAATCGATATCTTGAAGAATTTCAGCTTCCGTTTGTTTCCATTGCAGGTTATCTGGGTCAGAAAATGCCTTATACAGAAGTGGACCTTTATTCCTTCTTTCAGTAGTGGTCGGTTTCTCGGCGCTAGAAGATGAACCCTCGTCTACCCAAGCAGAATCAGTAGAAAACCAATGCTTTCTTCGATTCAAGAAACCGCAGGAGAGGCGGAGGTGTTGCTGCTGGAAGTGAATCCGGAGTCGGAGAAGCTGCGCAAGCCTGAGAGGCAGCGGAGCAACCATCTTTTGCGATTCCGAACTGTACGGTGACTGGGAGATCTCAGATGATGCTGGACCAGAAGCTGAAGCTTAACTCTTCAACCTTTATGGTCCATTCTCTCTATTGGGTTACCATCCCTTGAAAGTTGGGTAGTTCAGATATTGGGTGGGCTGCATTTTGTTTCTGAGGTCCAATATTTTGACTCATTTCACAAACGTAATCCATCGTAAATGGGCGTCCATCCAAGAGCCCAAGTGTCCAAGATACATTATGAGATTTTAGCTTCGCCTATTTCCTGAAAAAAGAAACTCGGTAAAACATTTTCCAATAAAATTTTGAAATAATGCGCCTATAAAATGAACAATTTAAAATGAGTCAGATGGAATTAATAAAAGGATTTTTTGCAAAACTATTACTAAAATAAAACTTATTTACAAAAATATGATTATTAGTCACTACCGTTGGGATTGGAAAATTCTTCTATTCAATATCAAGAACAGAATTACAATAGGAGGAGCAAACTCTCACACTCAACTATTACAAAAAACCAATTCTCACCAATACACTTCTACACTAAGTGTATTTCACTCTTCACACACTTTTCTCACTTTCTAAACTGATGATAGTGAGGAACAATACACTCCCTATTTATAGGGCTGGTTTGGAGACAAGAGGTAGTGCTTCCATCTTCTCCATACCTTCTTCCCATTTTCATTTGTTGGAGAGCTCCATCCAAGAAGGTGTGAGATGTCTCTTGGCAACTTCCAAGAAAGAAGGTGGAAATTCTCTACAAATCTCCCCCTCCACTTTTTTCTTTGTTTCTATCATTCCTGTGATGCTCGTTGGCTCCCCCTCGCTGGCAACAAGTATCCATTCGGATGTGGAATACTTTCTTTGTGGAACTATGCCTCGCATAGAACGTCGAACATGAATACCTTCAGATCCGTCTTCATATGAAGGCTCCCCCTGCTGAGGAATATAATATCATCAGTGTGAGCATCATCATCATTAACTGAACCATCACTATTCGAACACTGCTGTAAAGTTTTTAGAACCATGAAATTGTTCTACTTTATGCAGTTTGGTTATGGCAAGCTGAAACAAAACCAGTCACTGGAGAGGTGAGGGTCTGATATTGTTGTTTATAAAGATTTTATGGTGCATATAATGTTTTTATGGTACATATTGTGATTGGATTCTAAGTTTAGTGAAATTATAGAATGATTTTCTAAGTTCTGTTTTTGTCTCTTTTTTAAGTAGCTTTTCTGTGACTTATTATTGAGCACCTGAGTCTTCATAGGATCTTTCTTACACATACACTGTGAATGTCAACTGTTATGTTGGGGTGAAAGAAATTACAGTACTTTGTGATTGAGAGAATGACGCCAAATTACTTTAATAGTCACTGTTTAAAAGTAAATTGTACTTAAATGGTTATCCTGCACAATTACTACTTGAGAGCAAAACAGATAGTGCATGACTTTAAATGCTTCATCATTCGGTTAGTTAAAAGTTTAAACCGTGGGAAACATATGAAAAGATGTTATAATATGTAATACTCCGTAATGTTCATTCCTTGCCGTCTTGCACAATCCTTGCTCATAGTAAAACTAACGCCTCTGTGTGAACTGAGACCACGTCTGAACTCGCTGGTTTTGAAATCAAACCCAATACTGGTTCAACTGGCTGACCTAGGAAAAAGAAGTTTGAAATGAGCAACCCTTTGGGTGAAAAAAAGAGCCTCTCACAGTCTCACGTGCAAATTATCATACTTCAAAGGAAAACATTGGAATAAAAATATATGTTACCAAATATATATTCATCCCGGCATGATATGCAAAGTAAATAGAAGTAACTTGAATCATACATTATATGTTACAGCTTGCCATAACCAATCATCATCACTTGTAGTGCATCCAACTATTTTAGTGCATCCAACACTAAAATAGAATTTGCTCTATTTTAGTGTTGATTGATTTCACTCTGTTTTTCTCTGTCGTATGTATCATTTTTTATATGGAGTAATTTAAATCTTTGAGGAATGTAATCTTTGCTCTATTGTTTTGGTTTTTTGTGCGTGTACAAGCAATCTTCTTTCAATGACAGGTTCGTGTAAATTTGAACTTTTAATCCATTAAAATAGTTTGTTTTGCAATGAAAAATGATGCTTTACTTGGATAACCCTATTTTACTTATATATGTTTATTTACTGGATGTTTACCATGTTTCTGGGACTTCTCGGGTAAGAATGAACAGGAAGTTGGAAGTCAGAAACGGAAACTACTTCAGGAGCCTGGCGGTTCTGATCTTGAAGTTCAGTCACTAGACATGGTGTTGGAACCTTGTTTTGAGAACACGAACTGCTATTCGTTAATCATGTACCAGGACCTGCTGGTGTCCACAACACTTCCTAATGATGACTTAATGAAGATTGTCACATGTGATGTCTTAAGCTCTATTTGTGTACCTGATCACCAGACAGCCTCACCCTACAATAGTTCTCCGTACCTGGATGCTGTTGTAAGGCCTTTACAGAGTGACAAGTGGTTGAAAGGGAAAGATGGGTTCCTTGTAACTGACCTTTGGGAAGCAGAAGTTGGTTGTAACTCAGTGTTTGCTGCCCCAACTATTTGGATTAAGCAAACAGGAGAAAGAACATATAATTGTGCTTCAGAGATGGGTTCCTTGTAACTTCATATAACTGCTGTGAACTGTGAGTTTCTTATCAAAATATTTTTGGTAGCTTCAGAGAGGAGTGCTGCAGCAAGTTTCTCATGGTGTGTTGGGGGATATGGAGGGCCAGAAATGAAGTATTGTGGTAGAAGGATATTAGTAATTATGTAAGAATTTTGTACATTCCGTTTTATTTAATTTTTGAATATATATTGTATATCTTAATTACATAAATAATTTATTATTATATATATATATTTAATATTATAAATTACATAGTGCAATGGAGGCAAGCCGTTGGCTCAACTCAAGAAAGGGAAGAGTGAAATGGATTATTCTATTCCTATGGTAAATACTTACTACTGTTGGTCCAAAATAGGACGCTCGTAGGCTTTTAGGAAAGCTACGTACGACACTCAAGCAAGAATTAGGAAAGTACGAATATGGAAAGTTGCAAAGGGGATTTGGTAGCCAGAAATAGCATCTACAAATTGATCCCCTAATCTAAATTACAACCCGCCTTTTATAAGCGTATACAAATCGTAACCGCTACCGATAATAATGACTAATTAATTACAACATTAATACGGAATTAAATACATAATTAATAGCACATTAATTGCTTGACCGTTACTCTTTCGAGCTGGGAGGTCGGTCGGACTAGCAGGCTCCCCGCTGGACTGGCAGGCATGCTCCAGGTTGTGGACTTGGATCCACGGGTCCAAGTTCGGGGCTTGGGCTGATTAGGCTCTGGGCCTAGTTCCATAACTCCATCACGAATCCCCCACTCTCTTAGTCGAGTAGTAGACTCGGCTAAGAGGGAGTAGTCCAAGTCAGTTGCTCTTCTGCGAGACTAGAAGATCCCCGCCCTTGTCCATGTTGGGGAGATGCCTCATTAAAAACCTTCATTAGGAAAAAACCCAATGGGAAAAAATCCTAATGAAGCGAAAAAGAGTACATCTGACGTCCCCAAGATGAAGCAAGAGGTGAGATCCTCAACCTTTATTGTTATGGTCGCCATCTGCGAATAGGATGTCCATAACTGTTCTTCTCGTCGGGCCCAGACTCGTTAGGTTCGTCATTTGCTTCCTTGAAGATGATAAGACCCTCGGTCCCCCACTTCATTTAGTTGTACCTACACATAAAAGAAACTAGTGTAGAGTAGAGCATCTGACCTGGTATCGAACCTCGGCTCAATGTGTAAGTGAGTCAGACTCACTACTTGAAAAGAGTGACATCAAGTTCCCAAGTTAGGCCTCAACCCAGTTTCCGAAAGAAAGATTGAATCCGCGAGTAAGTGAGGCGGACTCCTCACTCGAACGGATAATCTAACCCCAAAATTGCTCGGAAGAGCGTGGCTCTAGGCCCCTGACAAGAGTTTAACTCGCCGCCCGAGGTTAGTAGTTCGAACCCGCAAGTAAAAACTTTTGAATGGGTGACTCGTCCCCCGAGGTCGGAGTGTGATGCACTATGAAGGGGTAAGAGTACGCGAGAACTCATATGAAGTCAAGAGTGTGCAGTATTAATATATATCGGAGCTTATTAATCGTCACATCCATATGGCGTGACCCGGTGGCGCGAGTGTGTGTGCTCGGCCATTGTACGAGTGTGTGTGCTCGTCCGGTGTACGTGAGTGATCGGATTTCATAAGTCCATTTTTCAATGTTAAAATTACACACGCTCAACAAGAGTTAAAGCAATTACACCACTTAAAATATCTTTTCAAATGTTTCAATCTATGATTTTTTTTAAAATCTTTTTGCTAAATAACCGTAGGAGAGATTTTTAGCACTTATCTTGTGGTCGAGTTCGCTCAAAATTTTTGAGACAAAAGCATTTGATTGGTTGACCTCTATGACATCACCTTCAGATGTGCTAATTTTTTTTTGGACTGAAAGCTTTGTTTGGCGCTAGGAGAATGGGAATTGGACCAGGGATCCAGAGCAGTGCTGGCGTGATCTCAACAATGACTCTCCAGTGTTAGTGGCGAAATCAGGTGCAGCATTCGGTGCATTTTCGTCCTGGATGGTGAGCACAACTTTCGTTCAATTGAAATTTCAGATTCTTATGTTTTGTTCATCTTTTTTGAGATTTCGAGAACAATCTTTCTAGCATTCTTTGTGATTCCTACTAAAGTGATCTAAGAGACAATAACAACTCTCAATGAAAGCACCAATGTTGGTCCAAAATAGGACGCTCGTAGGCTTTTAGGAAAGCTACGTACGACACTCAAGCAAGAATTAGGAAAGTACGAATATGGAAAGTTGCAAAGGGGATTTGGTAGCCAGAAATAGCATCTACCAATTGATCCCCTAATCTAAATTACAACCCGCCTTTTATAAGCGTATACAAATCGTAACCGCTACCGATAATAATGACTAATTAATTACAACATTAATACGGAATTAAATACATAATTAATAGCACAATGGGTATGCTCC